GGTGGCAAGGTCCCTGTCTGAGGCGCCGCTGAGCACAAGGAACTGCACCGACCCGATGAGCTGTCGCCCTGCTTGCTGAGGTGTGGCTGAACACGAACCGCACCGTTTCCACCAACGAGCAGCCGCCAACCTAGGGCACCACCTCCGGAAATGGCGCTTTTCCCTAGGCCGGCTGTATGATTTCTTTTTCTTTTCCGTACTCACTGTGTGAGTACGTGGTCCGCCATTCGCTTTCTCCTGCGACTATTGATGTGTCGGAGGGGGTGGTGTGAGTTTGGGCGCTCCCTTATGAACTCATGCGCCATCCCCATCCCTCTGTCTAATACCATACCGACATTAATCACTACGTGTCTCTGCCTGGCATTCGCTAGGGGGCGGCTTCAGCCCGTTGACTCAGTAAAATCTAATAGTATACGCCCCCCTCCCCCATGGAAGACGGCGAGAGTTTTCGTGGTGACATCTTATACGGCTCTCACGGGTGCGTGCGTGCGGCATGGTGAGCTGGAAGTGTTGGGCAGCATCTGCAGTGACGTCCAGATGGGGCAAGTGCAGGCCTGACCGTCCGTATAGACAGCCGCGGTTCAGTGTCCAGCCAAGCCCTGCAACCTGTGTACGAGCGAGAGCAAAAACCAGCCAAGTGCTCTGAGGGCGAGGGCCGGCCGCTCGTTGGCTCGCCCAAGGGCATGGAGTGTAGGCTGTGTAGACCGCATGCGCAAGGTGGGTGTGGTGTGACAGCCTGTTCCGAGGTGGTGGTTATTACCACTGACAGCGTCGTTGCAAGTGAGGGCCAAGAGAAAAGCAGAGTCGGGATTCCCTTACGTTAGGGGTTTACTGCGTGCAGTAGTGCCGTCTGATACGACGCAAGTCTGTTTTGTTTGGGCCTATAACACACTGTGGTGGTTGCTATTAATGTTGACCCGCGGCCGACAGCACAACCATGACCAACCAGCGTCGTAAATAAATAAGGAAAAGAAAGACAAAGAAGCGGTCGGTGGCGCAGTACGACTAATGTACATGCGGGCTTCTGACACTCAGCGACGGCGCTCACCTGCTTACCCTGCGCTGCTGCGTCGCACATGGTTTTCCCTTGCTGGGAGAATCTGCTCCGTCAAACACACGGTCGTCCGTCTGCGATGAACGTCGTTGCGCAATGTGCTTGCTCGAGGCCGGGTTCCGCTTCCCACACTCTGGTTGCTTCATAACTCCCCAGTGCGCTGGCCTGCGATGCCTGCCTCTCGCAGACCCCAACACCTGGCACCCCATCGGATGCAACTGTATGGTGAGCAAGTGGGACAAAGTCCCGGCACCAATGGTCTGGTTTGTGGCCCACGGGGGCGCTCGCGGCGACGTCAGGGGAGTAGCAAATCACCGGGGGGTGAGGTGGGCAGCATGCTCACCTGACAAGGCCAATCAAACGTATTAAAATTGGTATGGACCCTTTCCTAATGTATGGGGCCTTGCCGCCGCCAAGAGCGTAGCCTTCCTATCCTCGCTCGACATGCGAGGCGAGAGAGGAGCGACATACATAGTACTCACCACCACCAGGCAAGCCCGCCAGGACGATGTGCCGTGTTTCTCAGTCCTGTCTCGTATATACTGTGCTGTCTGTATGTAGCCATGGCTGCATATGCATGGGACGGATGTATGGTCGGGTTGTGGTTGCACCTGCGCCGTCTGTCCCTTTGCTTTTTCTTTTCTCGCTCAGCTGTGAGACTAGGTGGACGGAAAAGCAAACCCAATCATGGACCAAAGATGACCATCCATGGGGGGGGGAGAAGAAAAGTTGAAGGCGATCGCTCAGGTAGGGGCTGATCTGATGTGATCCTGGGTGCATCGAAAGCATCCAGCCACAGGAAACCCTACAGTGAATGGGCTTGCTTGACTCAGTCACCACACCCCCAAAGAATGCAGCATGCGAAGTCGCCTATGCCAAAGTCAAAAGAAGATTTGACCTCCGGCCGACGCAACGATAAGCGTTTATGGGCTGCCAGATGATTTTCCGGAACGGGAAATACACTTGGCGATTAATAATAAGGCTTGCCCGTCCGGCAGAAACTCTGTGGCAGGCAAAGGCTGCTGCCAGATGGATGTGCCATTGTCAGCCTCGTACGCTCCCAGGATGTCACCCAGTAATTGCTTTGTTTGCTTTGTACCCAGCGTGCTGGTGGTCTGGCCCGGCGATTATCCATGAAAAGAAATGCCCCTTCCCTTCCAAACCCCTGTACTAGCAGGGGTAGGGGCGACACTGATCAATTAAGTGGATGCAAGGGACCGCCTCACTCAGAAGCCCCCAGGTTTTTTTTTCCCAAGTCAATGCTCTGAATCATCTGATAATCATGAGCCCACGCGTCCCGTCTGCCCAGATCCGCCCGGTGCGATAAACCTCGGTGCGGAGAGTGTAAGTGAATTATTGAAAGACCTGTGAAATTACGGCAGAGGCGGCCAGATGCCCTATGTCTTTCTTTGGTGCTGTGGCAGCGGCATGGGCACGGCCAGTCAGTGGCAGGCTAATTGCTTAGCTGGGTAACAGCATGGATGGAGAAGACATTGGGATATCGCGAACGGGTCGAATCACGGCTTGTACGATGACGCCCCCCGAAACCTCTGTTCTGGGTCGAGAGAACGACGTGCTATCTTAGGAAGCACCTAGTAAGTACCGGCAGCCCACTTCGAATCCACTTGTTCGTGGACGGGACATTAGATGGGTAGGCCCTCCTTCTCTACCCAACCCGCAGGCTAGGAAATCATTAATTGCCTCCCAACATGCAGAGTCAGGCAGGGCGGATCGATTTGAGCGGTTCACGTGGTCGCGCACCATCGCACACATCCCTCCCACCTTTGCCCACGCGCATATGCTATGGAACGTAAGGCGCTAGTATTGTTGCATTGCTGGAGGTAGCCATCCTCACCTGTGCAGCACTTGGTTTTAATTACCACCTCCCTAACCTAGGTACATGACGTCCTTTTACTAGTCGTGCATATTATGGGCTCCATCGCACGGTCAGTTCTCTTGGGTTCTCTCGGTCTCGCTGTGTGCGAGTCGTTGTGCGCCTCAAACACCTCTCACTATGCCTAGAGCGGAAACAGTAGACGCTCAGCTCGGGACGGAAGAGAATTTCAATTTCTGGAAAAAGGAAATAATGTACGGCTGGACTTACCTCCAATATCCGCGGGCCGGCATCCAGCTGGAAGCGGTACGGTGCGGTGTAGGGTACTGCCAGCAGCTGCAACAACGCAGCACGTCCAGCTCAGTCGCAGAGGCGGTGCCGTCATAAGGTGCTAAGAATCGTCCACGCGAGCCTCCCGGCTGCTTTCGCCAACAAGGGCGCTCCTGACCTGGCCACCCCTCGGCATCCACAGCGCTGCAGGCATGTGCTCCCCATCGGTAGGTTTCCAGCAGTCATCCATCCACTGGCAGAAGGCTTACAGCACAGTGGGAGATAGGTGAGGAAGGCACGCACCCACCCGCAAGCTGATCCAGGAGGCAGGTAAGTGTGTACGCATCTGAGGTATTGGATCGCATCCACCCATCCCAGACGGGCAATGGTACGTACTGGGCGCTCTGGCAAGTAAGGAGGCACCCACATTTGCGGAGCTGCTTGGCCTGCGACCTGAACTGGTGCACTGAGGATTCAGGTACCAGCAAAGGCCAGGTACCTGTCGGTACCACCGGCCGCGCTCTCAGCTGGCTCCTTGATTCGTGTAGCCACATTTCCTATCCGTCCTGGGCCCCGTGTCTAGCTCACTCCCGCGCATCTTGCACGGGGCTGCGCTGCCCTGGGCGGTAGCGTCGCCCGCTGCAGCGTCTGCAGCGTCTGGCCCGTTCTCACCTCACCTCACCTCACCTCACACATCCCCATCCGCATCCACCTCCATGGCCACGCCCTCTCCCACGCCCACGCCTGCGCCCAGGCCAGGCCCGGCCAGCCCACCCCCGGGACCAGTGGACCACACCACACACCACCCATGAATCTCATCCATCCATCTCTCGTCAATGCCATGCAGTGCTAGTCCAAGTGTTAGCTCGGGGGCCTGACACTTTTCCCTTTCCTTACCTCGCAGCAGTGTTCCCACTCGAGTCAACCCATCATTCCTTTCCTGCAACTTTAACCTGTTATTGCGTCCCTCCTTTAACGCAGGCCTTCCCTTCTGAAACCGAGTTTCACTTCCACTCTTTTAGTCCCCCCAGTCTCTTCTCCCATTCTTGGTTTTGCTTCCCCTTCCTTCCCTTTCGACCTGCCCTCAAATCAAAACCTCATTCATCTGCTCCCTCCCTCCCCCCCCTTACTTCTCAACTTTCAATCTCCTCCACAACTATCTCTGATTGAACTTGGACGACTCACATAAGCCCCAACCTTCCATCATTCATCACGCCCCATTCTTCTCTTAGTACCAAGGCCTTTGGCCTTTTCACGACTGTCAACGCCGCTTTGCAAGCCTGGACTTGTTATACTCATAGCATACTCAAAGCAGTAAGTTTCGCCCTGAGCAGATCACACCTTCCTCGTGATCGATACGCAGCAGCCGAGGATTCAAGGGCGTGGATGGTTACTATGAGACCAACACGAGGTATTGGTTCGGCAAAGGCCTGAGAGTCAAAGTGGTGAGCCTGCAGGTCTATGATCTCCTGTGCTCTCCCCGATTTCGGCCTCACCGTATGATATATTTCGCATTGGGTTTCTTATTACACTGGGGAGTGACCGTCCCTTCATCCATCGTCAAGGCTTGGCTGCTCGGATGATCATTTTCACTATCATTGCGCTGTGTTGTCACAGATGGTGTTGCTGAGAATCGCTAACCTCTTAGTTTTTCAGTATTTGATCCTGAGGACGATATCTGGACCATCCCATCACATCTGTCTCGAATAGGCTCTCTCCCCAAGCGACGACACAAATTAAAAGTACCGGACTGGTTTCGAACAAGTTCTAGGACCGGCGTCTCGTTGGAGGAAAAGGAAATCACAGTGCCGAGGAGGCCGCCAAAAAAACTACATATTGAATATGGGACTCGGTCAAGGAGCTGCTGAGCGGTCAAGGAGAAACCCTTCGATAAGTGGTGAACCTGAACCAAGACAAGATCCTGAGGCGCAGAGGAACGCACCGCCTCAAAAAGACCAGGAAGGCACCAACACCGGATCCTCGCAAGATTCACCACGGGGATGTCATGCATCACCGGAGAGCGCGCCCTCAGCTATAGGACTTGCTCCTGGTCTGTCCACACCAGTTGTTGCGTCACCAGCCGAAATCTCCATCAACAGGAACATCACGAGGACACCTCCGCAGGGTTCCATTGACCCGCCCATTACGAAGAACACACTGAGCGAACTGGATGTGCAGAAAATTTTCCACAATCCCAAGTTGCGACACGACATCAACTTTGATCCTGACTTGCATTTCCGACCCAATGTTGAAGGCGAGAAGGGCAGGAAGAAGCAAGAGCGATCCGACTGTTTCTGGCAAACCCTGAGGGACCAGCTCTCCGATTTCGTTGTGAACCGGGAAAAGTTCTATGCACAGTTCGGTTATGGCGACGGGTGGTGCTTGCCTGTGCTACTGAAGACTATTAGGGATATTCTGCACACACTGGTGCCTCAGCGGGATCGCCAGTTCCTCGACGAAGGACTGAATGTAAGCCTGAAGATGCAGCAGTTCCACAAGGGTGTTTTGGACTTGGACCAGTTGGCTTTGTGGTTGTCTGGTGTTTTGAAGTCTCACTGCGCTCCGATGCGTGACGAGGAGGTCGACACGATGTACAACTACATCAAGACGGGTAATCAGACCGGTGATTTGGATCAGTTGGTTCTGGGTATGAGGGAGCTTCTAAGTGTGCTGGAGCACATGAAACTCGACGTGGCCAACCACCAGATTCGCTGTCTGCGGCCAGCCCTGATCGACGACACCATCCACTTCGAGCAAAAGTACTTTTGCAAGAGACTTCAGTCCGGAAAACTCGACACTCGAGAATCGATTCTGTGGTATAGGAACGCGCAGAGGCTTTACTCGAATGGTCCGTCTGATTTAAATCAAGGGTTCGGCGAGATGCACGTTCTTTTCGAAGGTCTATCTCGACTGGTACTGCCCTCCGCTTCTCGACAAAAGATCCCCGAGACTTTCCAACATGACCATGAGAGAATTCTCAAACTCCGAGCCGACATCCTGGATGTAATCAACTTGGATATCTGCATGCGACTGTACGAGGATTTGGAAAAGCTTGGTCGGCTGACCTCGACTGCTCAGTTCCAATCCTACAATGATGCCTCGTCGAGCGCATCATCGCGGGTTCCGAGCGGTGAGTTCAGCTTTACTGCCTCTCTACCTGGATCACGCCCTTCGAGCCTTGCTTTCAGCTCCCCCGGATCTGCAGCATCATCGCCCCGATCTTCTCTCGCTCTGCCTTCCTATGTTGCCCCAGACCAGCATGAGTGTAGAGTCAAGAGGCAGAATCTCTTCCAGTCTTTGGTCGCCCTCCTTCAACAAGCACCACATGCAGCAAACCAGGCCGCAAGATGGCAGGCTATTGCTCCATCAATGGCCCTCCAAATCTTCCGCTACACCAATGCCCCGTCTGGCATGCTTCCCGTGTTCGAGGAGAAGTTGATGAACACCTTGTGCAGGCCAGACTCGCAGATGTACTGTGAGATGGAGCAGAAATTCCAACAGAGGCTCTTGGCTGAGCTCTGCAACAGAGTGCGTGAGTTCAAGGGTCTGTCTGGAGTCAGCCTATACTCGGCCGCAACAGAAGCTCGCAACATGCCCAACAACCGATTGTTCGATCAAGATGATGAAGCTGGAATCGAGGACATGGCCACTCGCCTGGCACATGTCGGCATTCTCCACTGGAGAGTGTGGGCTCCCCTAGTCTATGTCGAGGACGTCGACGAGCCAATGACCTAATCCTACCCAAAAGGCATTGGATGGATATAAAACAACGCAGGCGCTGCTGGAGCAGCCTGAAACCGAGGCCTGGGGATGTTGACATCTTGATTGGTCGTCTGGACTCGACATGAAGCCTTCAGTTTTTGTTAAAACACTTCTTATTTCCCGGTCTTTGTAGACCAATTTCTTACCACCGAATCTTCATGATTCCAAGTCTGGATACCATCGATTCGGTTGGCACTATTTTCTTGATAATCTCGATCACTCATACTGCATTTACATTCACACGGTTGGCGTTTCAAAGAGGACTTCTACCACTAGACTGGCTGAACTGGGAAGGGAGATATCCGGTACTTGCATCTGGCTGAACATTGTTCATTCCCCCATTTCCTGCTTTTGTTCAATAGCCATAATCGCATTTCTTCGATTTTTGGGATTTCTGTCATTCGTTGCCGACCTGCACAAGGTGGCTGGCTATACTGCATTTACTGCGTAATGCAAGCGGAGTTGGTTGTACCTGCATTTCTCGCACACACTGCATTTTATGACCTAGCTATTTGATTTCTGTCTTTCGTTTTCTATAATACGGCGTGGCGCGAGCTTGGTATCGGAAGAAGAGCATCACGTGTTTTTTATGGTTCTTGAACTGGCTTCAAGCTGGGTGGGAATTTGAAGCGAACCAACTACATAGAGAATGAAGTGCGCGTTGCTGTACATAATATCTTGGTGAGAGAAGGAAGAGGGAAGAAGTACTTGCATGATCAGACAAGGTTTTCGATTTGCTGAATTGACGTATTTTCAATCAAAGAATGCTTCGTGCCTGTGATTTGAGTTTGCTGCCCGAGACTTCATGCCACGAATTACTGCCACATATGTAGTGTGAAAGCAACAAACTTCCTCGCACATGAAACTTTGTTGGTCTCTTTTATTAAAAGCACAGTAATGCGGCGTGGCAACTGGGTTTGCGAGCAAGCCGGCAGGCTGTTTAACTTCCAACATCATCTGAACTGGAATGGGCCAGTTTCTCACTCAGCCCCCGGGATCGACTCCATCCATCCGTGTACTCAGGCTCACACCCCTCTGACGCCTTTCTCCTGCAGGTCATAAGAACCAACCAATATCGTGTCTGTAGCATCCGCAGAGGCGTTCTCTCATGAGGTTAGATGCCACCGCGGTTTGTTTCATAACCATCAGACACTCTATATCATCCGGGGCCGAGCTAGTACGTGCTAATATATCGTGCCACACGGCCATGGCGGAAAACGCGGCTATGGTGACTTGGACTTTGTTCGCGAATGTTCCTCGGATAGTCCTCTAAGCGACATGTTGCCGGGAAAGGGAATTTCCAAGTTCATGAGAGCTCGGCCGACAATATGTTGGGTTGGGTGATATCACCACCCTTACTTAGATCATAGAGTCCTTACGTTAGCTCCTTTTCTGACGTGAAACGTGATACGCTGAGATGACTGCTGTTTTGTACTTCCGTATGATGCGGCAAGAAGTCATATGATGTTATGTCATGACTGTCGGATATTTACTCGTTCTGGTGGTTAATTGTTTCCCGATCTGCGAATACCTTCATGCAGCCCTTCACTTAGGATTTCACAACTTTCATGTGCGGCTGAGGGCTAAGTGTACGTCGTGTTTAATGTTGCCCGAATGTCGGCCGGCACTCCAGCTCGGAAGCCTTGCCGTCGAACCTGACCGAAGGGGCCGAAGCATGCGGTGATAAACAGGGAATGCCTCCTCCATCCCGCTGTATTCCCAGTTCTTGGCTTCATATTAGTTTCAGTCACCATGTCACGTTCTCATGCTCCATCGTCTGGTTTCGCTGTCTATGTATATTTTGCATTCCAGTCGTTATGCTCGCTCTATCTCCACCAGTGTGTGCCTAGCTTCATGGTGGCAGACACCAAGAGCTCGTCTAAACCCAACCGCAAAGAGAAAACGGACGCTTGTTGGATAAGATCTAGAAGAAAACAAGAAAGACGAAACCCGAAAAGTGAAACAATGCTCGTTCATACCACGCGGCATCATTCAAGATGCAAGAAAACTTGAATAGGTACACTATGCGGCCTTGATGCCGCTAGAAGAAGGTGATGGAAGAAACAAGTTGGTAGAAGTACATGAGCAATAAGGTCTGTAGAGCACCGCTTAGTCGTATAGCTTGACCCTGAGACTGGAGCTAAGTAGAAATGACGCCAAAGTGCTGAAGGAACCACTCGTTGATGTATATAATAATGGACAAAACCAATATAGATGAGACAAGAGAAGCAAATAAAAACAATAATATAGAACTCCCACCGTTTTTATATCTTCGTTGCGCCGGATTCTGCGTATATTCTCGCGATAAGTCGTATGGGAAATCATGATTGAGTCAAAAAAGTGAAAAAAGATGGCCGAGTAAAGAGCTCATCTCATCTCAGTTCGTCATCGAGGACTGAGCGGACTCTTGCCTGGGCCTTGAGCTCGTTTTAATTTTGACAATTCCTCTTCCAGCTTGCGGATCTTTGAGCGCTCCTCCTATTGTATCAAAACAAGTTAGTCAATGGCCAGCTGTGTGAGGTTGGGATCTCCGATTGAATCTTACCTTCATATCTTCCTGGAACTTCTTTCTTTCCTCACGCATGGTGGCTCTGAACTTCTCACTGAGCACCGTTGCACCGGCACCTGGTCGGGCAGATGCGTCTCCTCGGCTGGCTTTCAGTCTCTCGCCATCAAGTTCATCCTGAAGCTGTGCAAGCTTATCGGCAGATTTCTGAAGCTCGAGATCCAACCTCTCATTGAGATTGGATACGTCTGTTTCCAGAGCCATTCTGACAGAGATGGCTTCGTCCAACTTGCCTTCCAATTCCGCCTTTTCTCTTTCGGACCCAATGGTTTCCTTGGTGACCTCCTCGAGTTCCTTGACGGTCTCCGCCAGTTCCGATTTGAGATTCTTGACTTGGGCTTCGAGCTTATCGATCTGGCCGTTCACCCTGACGGCTGCCACATCAGCTGCTCGCTCAGCTCGCGTTCCGTAAGCGCCATCTAGCTCAGCGCGGGCGATCGTGACCTCGGTCTTCAGCTCCACATATGACATATTGAGCATGTCGAACTCTTCCTCCTTCTCCTTGAGAGCCTTATCTTTCTTCTTCATCTCCTCTTCCTTATGCTTCACTTCTTCCTGTGCCTGTTTCGCTTCATTGTATGCTTGCTCTGCCTCCTCTTGAGCCTTCTCCGCCTCTTCCTGTGCTTTCTCTGCCTCCTCTTGAGCCTTTTCTAATTCTTCATGTACCTTCTCTGCCTCTTCCTGTGCTTGCTCTGCCTCTTCCTGCGCTTGCCGAGCTTCGTCCTGGGCTTGAGCAATTTCCTGCTTTGCTTGCGCAACCATCTCCTGCGCCTTTGCAATCTCCTCCTGCTTCTGCCTTAGCTCCTGTTGCAAGTGCTCAGACTTGGCGTGGGACTGGGCGGCTGCCTCCGTAGCATCATCCAGTGCTTCACTTAGAGCGGTAATGGACGAGTCAACCTGTGCCAACCGCTGCTGAGTAGCCTGGCTATCAGCCTCAGATTCGGCAAGGCTCTGCTGCAACTCCTTGAGTTTGGCTTCCAACGCTTCAGTCCTGGCAGCCCGCTCCTGGAGCTCAGCTTGCGCATCCCCAGCACCGCGTGATGTATCCCGAACCTGCTCGAGCTCTTCAAGAGCCTCCGAAAGCATCTGCTGAGCATCCATGGCGTCCTTCTCGGCCCGGGAAATGAGGATGTGGCTTTGATCAAGCTCCTCCTGCTTCTGGGCAAGCTCGGCATCCTTCTCAGCATCGGACTTGTTGTTGAGCTCGCGTTGCTGCTTGATCTGTCTCTTGAGCACCGACTTCTGATCCTTAAGCACAGTCGCCTGCCGGTAGAGCCAGCGTACTCTAGACGAAAAGCCAAACAGCGTGTATGACTCCGATAAATCGATACCTTCGTCATCTGAGATGTCCTCGTCATCCTCCAAGCCTTTGTCCGCCCTCGCTCTTCGTCGATCCTCCTGTCGCTTTCGAATGTCGGTGTATCCATTATGAATCATGTCCCATAGCTCCTTCAGAGTTGCCTCAACATTGCTGCTGCCTATTTTCTCGATTCCAAACTCATTTCCATGCAACTCATCTAGAAGAGTCTGCTGCTCGGCTTCAATTGCTTCTAAGGCAGTTTCGAGATAGTCGAACTGCTCCCTGAGAAACTCAGAAGGATCAGATCCGTTGGGCGCGGCTGATCTGGGAGGGGGGAGAAATTCGGCATTGTGCTCCGGATTGAATCGGATAATGGTGTCCCTGAGTGAGCCGTTGAGATCCTCCAGTCTCTTCTCCATGTCGGAAATGGATTCCATGAGATATGTGTTTTCTTGCCGGGAGCGATCTAGTTCCTCCTTGAGTTGACTTTGTTGTTCGCGGTTCGGTGACTTCATGGGAATCTCAAGAGGGTTGTTAAGGGCTTTAGCGTTCCCGCGCTCGAATTCCTCGAAGCTGGTGTCATCGGTATAAAACCCGTCTGGCCCGTACAGGCTATCCCGACCCTGTGTATAAGTATAAAGGCTCTCTGGGCTGCCGGGAACACCGTTCAGAGGCTGGCCGTTCGCCGTCGCCTTCTTCTTGGATGCCTTGTGCGTCAATTGAAGAATACCTGCAGTGTGCTCCAGCAACCGGCTCTTGGGCTCCATAAGCCGCTTCTCGAGGTAGAAGAGCTCCGCGGCGAGGTCCTCGCATCTCTGCTGGGTCACCCTCCGCTCCTCCTCGGCCTCGCGCATGCTGTGATCCTGATCCGGGTCGTCGCCATTTGAAGGATTGTAGAGCTTGGTCATCGAGTTTGCAGCATCCCGGTACTTGGCCTGGATCAAGAGGTTCGACCTGGTCGACTCTATCCGCTTGGTCAAGGTTTGTACCAGTTTCTTCAGTCCGTCAATCTCCTCCTGGGACAGAATCTCGAATTCCTTGCTATCCGAAAGGGCCGTCTCGGTGAGGAGGTGGATTTGAATCGGGTCTTTCAGGTCGACCATGACAGAGCTCTGTGGCCGCCCCGGGTTCATCTAAAATTGAGGTCAGTCTTGGGCCCTGATCGCCATTCGAGAAACATAAACATGATAATGCGCGCCATACCGAATTATATGCCGGCGCAGCCTGCTCAAAACCATTCATGATGTCCTGCCGGTACGAGTCCACCACGACATTTCCGTTAGGCTCGAGGCCCGTCCGTGGAGGCGGGCTGAAGTCGTCGGTGGCCATGTCCAGAGGGTACGCCATGCTGTGCGGAAAACACACACAAGGTGTTATGGTAGGTGTCAGCCGATTGAGGACTCAACCTCGTCGTAGAAGCTGTGTCGTTGGGTGAAGAATTAGTCTATTCCATCGAACCAGTGTGCGTGCCTTCATGAAGAGGATATCGCCATGCGCTCCGTGCCCCCTGTCAATGGCTGGACTGCCCCTGAATCTATCAGCGTTTGGGGTGGGGAAAAGGAGTTGCAGATCAATGAGTGTGAGTTGTATAGACGTTTCGCTCGCGAGGAAGCGGCCTCGAGGAGCGAGCAACAAAAGAAAGCTTGGAAGCGAGCCGGGCTCAGGGAGAAGAGACGAACTGCTCAGCTCGTGGCTCTCGCATTTAACGCGGGTGGTTGGAATTATTGGTGGCACGCCGCGCAACGCAGCGCCGTGCAGGGGGAAAGGGGATCGACCAGGTTCATCTTGTCATCTGTGGAGTACTTGCCAATTAAAGGCCTGCGCTCGGTACTTGGGCTCGAGAGACCTCTGCCCGCACTGGCGCTGGAGCTTAGGGGCAAAAGCGCTTGCTGGGTACCCTGGGGGCAAGTACCTTGGGGGGCCGCTCGCCGCAGCTGAACCACTGGGGAGGGGGCTTGAGCCGCTCGACAGGGGCGCGTAATCGAAGACTTCGGGCGGTTTTTTCTACTGCCACGCTGCAATGGGTCCATTCTTGCAGGGGGGACACGGTTGATTCCTCCTCTCTCTGATTACAGATCAGGAGCAGACTGGAACGTCACTCCAAAGATGCTGTTGGTTATTTACCTACGTTTAAAACTATGAATTAACTGGTGGTTAGATTGTTCAATGCTACTAAGTGGTAAGGTGTAACCTGTAGTATGCAAGGCAGGACCGCATCATTTCATATTTCACGTTTGTCTAATATAGAATTCTACTACGTATATGAGCACAGCTTTTTGTCTATAACACGTCTCGGAATTGGTCCATAATCTGCTGCCCCATCGTCCGCCGTCTCTCCGGCTGGTTCGCCGACTGGCCCTGCGCTGCGCCGGTCGCCGCGCCGGTCGCCGCGCCAGTAGACGAAGCCGAGCCCTCGTCCTCCAGCATCCTGCGCAGGCCCTCGAACTCGCTCCTGCGCCGCTGCGACCTCAGCCCCAGCATCCAGCCGGGCATCCGCCACCGCACGAACGACGCGGGCAGCAGGCCCTCCCTCCACGAGTAGCCGACCACCCAGCCGACGACCGCGCCGAGGAGGGAGCCCGGCCACTGGAGCAGCGCCAGGTGCACCGCGATGGCGTACTTCAGCGACTTGTCGGAGAAGGTGACCCCGGAGAAGGTCTCGTCGGTGGGCGGCGCCTGGGATGTGGCGATGCGGTACTTGTACAGGTGCGGGATCATGGCGTGGTACTGGGCGAGCACGGCGAATATGATGGGGGTCGGTCCCGCGGGGATGTAGTTGAACCATCCCGCAGTGAGAGGGCGCAGAACGACGGTGAGGGACGGCGGGACGATGGAGGTGAGGAGGTAGGAAACGACGAGGAAGGACTATGCCAAAGCTGTTAGTGGTCTGGGATCAACATGCTCATGTTGCAGCAGGACTATGGGGGATGGGTGTAACTCACGGCGTATTTCCTTGACCCCCACATGCGCTCAACGATTCGCAATTGGTAAAGAGTGATGACGCCAAACAGGACCTCGGTGGAATTGGTGTAGCATAATTGGTAAATGAGAAAGCGCCAGAGCTGGCGGTAGCGCCATACGTGTGTGTCGACCAGTATGTAAAAGTAGTGCTTGATATCGAGCAGGCTCGCCAGAGTTGATGCTGATACGATGCCCAGCAGGATCAGCCGAGTTACGGGAGTGTTGGTGAATGACATGACAGCCAGAAGTCTAGGAAATACTGGCTAGAGAAACAATGTCGCTGCTGTGTGGGTGCTGGGTGCAATGGGCTGCAGCTTGATTTGGAGCATGCCTTGGGACAGGAAGCCACTTGTCGCACTGGACTGGACGCCGCTTGTGATGTCACCAAAGGCAGCGGGCAGGATGCAACTCAAGAAGTTATTGCCTCAAGCAAAGCTCCAGGAATTGCGCCTGAGTCTGCTTGGATAAAAGCGCTGGATCCGGCCTGGCGTGATGCCTTGCGAAAGGTAGCTTGACTGAGACTGCAAGTACCTGGTTGGGCATTTCCGTTGAATACAAATGGACAGCTAAGCAGCATCCCGCAGTCACGTGGAGCTCAGTTGAAGCTCCGTGAGGCGTGTCGGCGTCCGTCCGTGTCCTTCCACCGGCGTACCTTGCATCCGCTGTGGAGTTATGTATTAGCTTATCGAATCTTCAAGCATGTGCACTGTCTGTATCATCGAGAGTCTTGTAATTGAATTGATTCATCCGGACCAATGCTCCCCATTCTTTCCCCTCTCTCTTTTGGCTGACCGCCCCCCGCCTGTTCGGGATAATAATTGTGCTTGTCCAAAAGGTTCGAGGACTCTTTATTAGCCTCCATTGCTAAGATGCATGTTAATTACTAGCCTTTAATTACCTATAGTAATACCCCGTTTCCCGCCAATTTATCTTAGACCCATCCCCAGTTCCAAACCATTCTTAAAAGTCTCAAGGGCCATGCGCCGCTCAACGTGCGTTTGCTGACCCTTGGCGCTCGGGAGGCGATTATTATCTCGTTTGCATCTGTTGCGGTGACCTCTAATTTCTCTACGAACATAACTCTCATTAATTTATGATCTTGTATACGGTGTTGTGAGGTCAGACATACCGGCACGTGCCTCCTTCTCAGTCATCCTATCATCACACCTTCCTTCCTTCCTTCACTGGCACCTCAGAACAGACGAGCAAGGCAAGACTTCCCTTCCCCCCTTCACAAAAAAAGAGAAGGGGGGCCGCCCTCAATGGATTGAACGCCCCCTCAATTCCATCCCGCGCATCAATGATACTGCGGAACTCATATCTCACCCCCGATATCGCTACCAAAGATGCCACTCGATAACCTCGGGTCGCTCTTCATCAGCCATGCCGTCTTCCTCATCCACATCGTCTACTGCACCATCGCTTTCATGCACGTCGAGCCTAGCGCGCTCTTCGTCCTCTACTGCGTCGTCAAGGTGCTCGGCCAGCGCGGCGAGGACTTTGACCAGGACACCTCTTGGCCGCCTCGATCGCCTAGATGGCTTTTTAACCCATGAGCGTCTTGTCACTCGTACGGATGGAGGCTTCTTCTGGAAAGCTCATTCAATGGATTGGTATCGCTTGGTTGAAGGGAACGCGCTGAGAAACCGACGGTTCCGAACTACACGCCCTGGACTCACTGGAGATCTCCCTTGAGTGAGATATCAAGTACGGATGAGAAAGGGTGCCGGCCTACCGCCTTGGATAGGTACGGTGCCCACGCCTTGGTGTAATTACCTTGATGCGATGTTTCGCTCACGCTTGGCAGACACGGCGTTGGCTTCACCCGCCCGCGTTCAGGAATGGGTTGTTATGGCACATGCCTTGACTGACCGGGGCGGAGAGTTTATCAGTAGGCAATGGCACGGCTATCCGACCATGTCCTGGAAGAGACATGAGACCAGTAGGATAAATGTATATTCCCACTAGAGAAATGTCACTAGACTCAGGCGATGCCCATACATGGCTCACGCCATTTATTGTATAAAACACATTGTTACTAGCGTGTCTTATACACCATAGACACCCGCATTACGGATCAATTGATTTGAATTATACACTTCGCGAAGAGAGAGACCAAATTGAGAACGTAAAGGTTGAGCATTGATTCTAGCTGCCGGCAACTATCTATATACATGTTTTCTAGAACCCGGTTGAGTAAAGATGACACGCCCTTTCCGAAATATCCAGTGAACGCCGCGAATGGCACAGTGTATTGCCTACTACAGCTTGGCCTTGGGGTTCTCGTCTGGGGAGGTGGCCTCGGGGTTTACCAAGATCTCACCCGTCTTCTCTCCATTACCGAAGAAGATAACCTGGACTGTGAGGTCGTCGCTAAAACATCAATTCGTTAGCATACAAAGAAGATACGCAGTGAAATGGTTGACATACCGATATCTTCTGGAAAAGGGGGCCGGTAGGGTGAGTAGAGCGCACACCTGCTCGTCGTTGGGGCCTCCAAGAGCATTGCGGACGAGGTGGGTTGCCACGTTCTGGTCCTTCACGACAAACCTATTCTTCGCATCGGGGTCAACGCCCCACTGGTGCAGGCGGATGGGAGTCTTCTGGCCCTCGGCCCCAGTGTCAGCACCCTTCTCAACAGGAAGGGCGCCGTTCCCCTGGGTGCCCATGATCTTGGACCATGCCACCTCGAACTGGGACTTTGACTGGCGGCCGGCGGCCTGGCTCTCGATCCACTGGCCGACAAGCCCGACGACCTCGTCGTTTGTCAGCATCTCCCACAACCCATCGGTGGCTAGGACGAGGAAGTCACCCTTCTCGGGCTTGACCTTGGTCGTGGTCACCACGGGCTCGGCGGTCACGTATGGGGGCGACTTGAGGAGTTGAGAAGGCGTACGCCCAAAGAACTTCTCCTTCAGCTTGAAGGATGTCTCGCGGCTCCATTTGTAGACAGCGTCGCCAAAGGCGCGGGTGGGCTCCAGGCCACCGAGAACACGGCCGTTGCGCACAACATGCTCCTCGCCAGGATGCTCCTTGCGCATGCGGTTCGCCTCATTTGGGTTGCTGCCAGTCTGATCCTCGGATAGAGCAGTTGCGGTCCACTTGCCGGAATCGGATCGACGTCCCAGAACCGCTCTCGAATCACCGGTGCACGCTACCCGCAGAAGATTGGTTCGGCTGTCATAGAAAGACAGCAGCGCACAGGAGCCGGACAAAGCAGGCTGCAGCAGCTCTGCAGCCACGGTCTTGGAGCTGGCCTTGAAGACCTTCTCGACGCTGTTGTGGACAATCTCGGTATCTAGACGGTTGAACCCAGTCTTGATAGCGAGCTCGATGGCATCAGACGAGGGAGTGCCCTCAGCCACAGCCTTGTATGTATTGTTGAGTTCTGTCGCAACGTATGAGATGAGGTTCTGGCGAAGCGTCGCAGACGTAGTCCAGCCACTATGGTGATCTCAAAATCAGCGCCGCTCATTCCCACACATCAGACACTGCAAGGTAGACTTACGAATGGCCATCAAAGACCCCCCAGAACATCCATTCATTCTGATCTCCGGCATCGGCAGCCGACGACCGACTGGGGACCTGGACAATCTTCTCGGCGTGGTCGTCTTCAATGGGGTCGTTGCTGGGGAGCTGGACGAGGTCGTACCGCGTAACACCGTGGCCCCTGTTGACCGAGAAGGACTGCTCCAGGTGACGCAGTTTCTGCGTGGCTTGCTCCGGGGTCAGCATCTCCACGATCCTCCTGCCGTCGCCGCTCGTTTCCTTGGAGATGGGCCCGTCGCCCACGATGGTGCCCTGCCTTAGCTCATCCGCACCCACCACCAGCACAGTCCTCGTCGGCACGGGCGAAGCGGCGGCGGTCGATGGGTTGGTGGCGGCGAAGGAGAAGCTGCGATAGAGCGAGGCGGCGCCGGGGATCGTCGTCGAGTTGTACGAGTACCAGGCACCGTATCCCGCAACCAGGGCGGATCCCAGCACGACGGGTAATCGACGAATGTACATGGAGGACCTCAATGGTGCATTGGGCGTCGGTCTGAAGGAACTCGGTGTCGAGTTGCTCAAGAGGCGGCGGGTTCCCGCCGAGAGCGTTCGCGCTGTTGCTAGCCGCTGGGGCGAGACCAGAGAAAGTCGACTTCGCAGGGCGGATCTAAGGGTCACGCGAGGCGCTATGATGGCCGCACGTTGCATTGAAACGACGGTGACGGCGGCAACTCCTCTGGATGGTTGATCAATCTATAAGGGAGTCGGATCGGGAGTTGGCCGTGGCGTCGAAATGAGCGAAGAAGGAAATGGGGACAGGGAAGCTGGAAGGAAGTTGTAGGAGTTGGCTGCCACCCTTTTGGGACAAGCACCTGGACTTTGGTACGGATATGTAGTATTTGTTCCGATCTGATATCTTACTCTAAAGAAGCCTTCCAGAGGATGTTATCTTACAGTTTCGAATGTGCAAATCTAGGCATCGCTTGATTTTTATGTAAACAAAGGAAACAACGTGATTCTCTGGAACTTTATCATTCTATTCTACCAGTTGAACCTCCGCCAAAGCAGATTGCCCCACCACAGTCTCCAGTGGCGTGCAAATGTGGCTTGTGAGTCGCTATTTCGGCATGCAAGCATTCAATAACTTAGCATGCTCCGATTGCTGGCTTGTGACGAGCATTGGCCTCTGCAATGAGCCAGGTCAACTTCACGCAGAGGGCCGAGGTCACATAAGAGAGTCCAAAGCCTTCCCCCCGTAGGATCTGCGCCAATGAATTCTGGTGGCTTTTGTCCGTCCCACAAGGCCATTGCAGCTGTAACTTGACTTAAGCTCCACGCCCGTTCATTGGCTTCCTGATGAAATAAGAGACAGTACATAACCAAAGCCTCGGTGTACTGCAACAGCCCCGCATAGAACATTCATACACCTTAAGAGCACCTACATCCTCACCAGCTCATACATATTACTTGCTTGCAAATATATAAATACATATTCGTGTATCTCGATCTGTAGGGCTAGGAGAATATTCTCACGTTTGGATACGTCATGTCTCTTCCGCCCCAAGCCGTTGAGCGAATCCGCGCCCTCACAGACCAAGATGCCATCTTCCACGCCTTCGATTCCTACCCATGGACCAAAGACAAGACATTCATGGTACAATAAAAGACACATATCTTTCCGCCATAGATTGTGAGAATACCCCAACACCGCTAACCAACTTCCAGTCCGGCCTCTTCGCCCTGCTCGGCGACCCCAACGGCCAGCCCGCACAGGGCTCATCACCGCGGGACATGGCAACCCACGCCCGCATATTCTACTACGCCCAGAGGCTAGGCGTCACCATCGACTTCACAGCCTACCAGACCTGGCTCTCACAGCACCCGGACCACCAGCCCCCCGACATCCTGCCGGACTCGTACCTCGCCAGGGACGGCAGCAGATCTCAGGACGCCGACGCCGCAGAGAGCAGCGCCTCCTCCCTCCCCTGGCAGCAAGCCGCCCCCAAGAACGACCTCTTCATCGACAAGAAGGCCGCCGCCGCGGGCCAGTCCCAGGAGGACCAGCCCTCTTACCCCATGGCCTTCGCCGAGATGCTCAAGCTCCTCCAGGAGGGGAAGCCTGTCCCGGGCATCAGACAGATACCCAACACAGTAGTGCGAGATCCGGTGAGTGCCTCTTCTGCCAAATATCCTATCTACTATGCAGCATGTAAGCCAGGACGTGAGTCTCTCACACCAGCTACCTATCTAGTCAATTAAGCCAGTTGGCTCAAGAACAGTGCCCCGGAAGCCCTGGGAGAGAGACAACAACTCTTCATTGACGGATAACCCTGTTGTTCCCAAGGCTCTTGATACCGAGTTCCCTCCTGTCGAGGCCGAAGCCGAATCTTTGAATCAACAACAGAGCACTACTTCATGACCGTAATTTGAATTTACGCTCTTTTTTTTTTCGCATACAAAACAAGATCATTCCACAAAGCGCCGTAAATGGTAGGATATTAAGAGCCCGTGATGGAAGTTGAGGGCAGGTAAATCCTTGTGGCCTGCATCGAGCCATCATGATAGCTTGAAGTCTGGATCACTGATGGAGAAGGTAGTTCATGTCATACCGCAGATACAAGGTAAAGTCCAAAAAACATGTATTAATAGCCTCGCAGATAACTACAATCGAGGCTTCCTCTAACTCTCAATACTTGCTTGCTTCTTTGTGCTCAAGTTGCAGCCCTAAGTTTAAAACAGCGATAGGCGATCCTCCACGAATCTCGTTCAAGAATACTTTGGGATCCCCATCTCTGACAACCTCAGCCTGAGTAATTCCAGCTATTTGGGTCATCGGAGCTGTATCAGCCCCCAAAGTTTCTTCCTTTTTTTTTTTTTTTTTTTTTTTTCCTTTTCTTTTTTTTTGTTCCCCAGTCCCCTCCTTTCCGATCTTGTCCATTGATTTTCGAACCGTCTTGGGGACAGGGTGCTTGAATGCCTCCCTCTCCACCAGGACTATTAACAATGCCTGCAATGTCCTCTCATATTGCAAAATCCATAACCATGATGTGTCCAATGCGCCCTGATGAGGCAGTAGCCTGTTGAGCGTAGGATGACGAGTGATTTGTAAATTACTTCATGAGAAGATGTTAATAAGAAAAGGCCAACAAATCCTCTCCGGCTTTGTACTTCGACGGAAAAGCGGAAGGCAATATAAAATAGTGAGTTAAACGCGCCGGACATGGCATTCGAGCCAGAAAAACATGTCCCTAAGAATACCAAGAAGTTCTGCTGATTAAAGAGAGAGAAATGGTGTTTCCTCAAGCACGACTGTTGGCTCTAGATTATCGATAGGTTCCATTACCAAAGCGAGGCCCTGGGCCCATTCGACCATTGATCCCCGGCCCAACGCCAGGACCAGGTCGGGTCGTGACAGCGTGATTGGTGCAAAGCATTCCAACACGAGAGCCGAACTTGGATCCTCTGAGAGAGACCATGTGTTTTCGAATATGAGCTGCTACCATTTCCCGATGCTGAGGTGTCGCGTTGTTGAGGATCCATTGGATCAGGTAGTTGCCATACTGATCGCTGGCGATATCAATCAGTGGGATCCTAGTCCTATCACGACGGCCTTCACAAACTCGGTCAAGGTAGCGTCCAAGGAACTCAGTGCCTCCAATCTTCAGGCATTTCTCGACAACCTTGGAGGCAAACTGGTCTGTGCTGTACTCGGCAGCATACCGAATGACGTGGTCAATGGCACGGCTTCGATCAGGTGGTCCGCCATGCTCGCAAATATGCTGAATGCACCAATTGCCGAATTGTCCATGCGCAACAATATCGATATTCGCGAGCACCTCTTCGATGCATGGTCGCTATGTCACACGAATGTTAGTACATGCTTCAACAGATGGTAGATGACGTCTTGCAATCTTACCTTATCCTCTTCAAGACAATTCTCGAAAATATTTTGAACCACCAAACTTCCAGTCTCGCCTAGAGCAACCTCGTGCCACATTCCTCGAAGCGCCTCGTTGACATACTTCATGATTTGAGGAGGAGACTCGGTCCATCGAAGCTCGAAAAGCTTCTGCCAAACGTGGCACGCGTATCGATGAATCACTGTTTCGGGGATGCGTCGGAGTAGTTCATGAACCATTATTGCTTTGTAGTCCTCTGGGACAGAATCAAACGCTTTTTGAACCACATGACATCCAAAAGGGTCCATCGACAGATTCAGCGTGTTTCCTCGGATCGCTTCAGCAATTTTGATGACCTGCTCGGGGGTCCCGTGCTCGAAACAACGCTGCACAAGGAAGTTTCCGAATCGGTTGACCATCAAAGGGTATGCTTGAGCTACAATTGCCTCCACAATTTCATACTTCTGCTCAGGAGTTCCAACCTTTAGCTTTTGCTGCAAAAAGATGGAAGCCTGTTGGTCGTTGTTGCACACGATCTTGTCAACGATATACTTCCAGTTGCAGTTCACATTCCGATCAAGCAAGCGTCGGTAGTTGAGGGGCTCAGTAGGAGGCAGGTATGTCGGACCTTCAGAGGGCATCTCCTGAAGGGCATCAGCTCTGTAAGCAAAAGTTTCACCGCCGGTTTCTCTCACCTCTCCCTTCCATGCTCCTTTAGAGGTGAACTCGGAAGCAAAGGGGGATAGGGGAGTACCCACAGGCTGCTGGGGCTGTTGAGCATAAGGGGGGATTCCAACTGGGCTCATCACTTGGCCTGGCCCAAGGTGAGGCCCAGGAATAATGGTGTTTTGCATGTGCCCCCCCATCATGACATCCTGCTGATTTGCAAGCCCATTGAAAGCACCGCCGTAGGAGCTATTGAAATTATGAGGTGAGTTGATCCTGCCTTCATATCGATTTCCTCGGCGGCCTGTTGGTGGGCGACCAAGAACATCTGAATCCGGTGTCAGACGATCACCATTGCAGCTCTCCGTCTGGGAATATGAGCCAGCAGAGTCTGCAAAACTGGTTTGGAACCCTCGACCCCCGAACCAATTTCCTGGAGAAGGCTCCATAGCCGACGATTGAATTGTATTACCAACAGCAGGAGGAGCCCTTGGATTATTCCAAATACCTCTCTGTCGGCTGAACGGAACAACTGGAAGGCATTCACTGGTATCTGACTGAGTGTTATCAGGCGATGCCCAAATGCTTTCGCGGACAGTTGGTATGTAGCTGCGCGAAGGGAACTCGCCCGTAGGAGAAGTGCCTGGCTTGCCGGTCCGGGTTTGAACTAACTCCTGATCGAGCCGGGAGATTTTGGTCTGTGCTTGAGCGAGTTGTAGCTTCAGGCGAAGGATTTCATCAGTGTCTTGACGGTTATCCTCGAATGTAGCACTTGCAGGTCTAGTGGTAGGTGCAGTGGACGAAAAGGCATCCGTTGCTGGTGTGATGGGGAGGGGCGTGCTCGACGAGGTATGGTCCTGCGCCCTTGAGTTGTACGAATCATCCTCCCCTGATCGAATGGCTTCATTTTGCTTGTTCAGAACCGCTTGCTGTTCAGACAACTTGGCGATAAGTTTG